GGGGGGTTTTTTTTTTTTTTTTTTTTTTTTTTTCCTCAACAGATGCTACAGGTACACGGTGTATATTAGGGATTGTTGTCCGCCTTTTGTATATAATTTGAGTACACAGGTATCCACAGGTCTCACACGGGTGAGATCCGCCTGAGGTGAACCCCATTCCATTTGAGTGGTGTGGACAGTTAATTTTTAATTTTTTTCCCACTTTTTCCATCAATGTACATATTCCATTCTTTCAAGTGGCATCATCTATACTTTTGATTATTCTCTCACTTTTTCCATCAATGCACGTTGAGGGAATATAATTTTGAAATGTACATCTAGCATTATCCTTTTCTTTTTTTATTGTTTTTACCTTTTTGGTTGCATTGATGAGATATTGAGAAAATCAATACTTGTTAGTTTTTTTTAGAGCAATAAAAAAGTCATTTGAAAATGGTGCACGGTAATTTGAAACATATTTTCATAACTCACCAAATAGATGATTTTGATGATTTTTTCAATTTTCTTTCAATCTAAATCTCTATGAAATAGTTATTTTCAACAACATATATTTATTCAAAACAAAATAGTAAATAAAAATTAAAAAATTATTTATAAGCAATAATTACTTCATAACTAAAAATTACTTATAAGTAAAAATTCACTAATAATATGTAAACGTCAAAATACATTCGTAGATCTATCTTTCTTGTATATAGCATACAAGTTGATATATTCCACACATATCCTTGGGGTCAGAAGTCTTCTACGGATACATTGCAAGCTTTTAAGACGGGACATCTGATAAAGTTATGGAGGATGAACGTAAATATGATGCATATAAATTTTTCACCAGTCGTGCACAAAAATGGTAAGAACCATAAGATTGTTAAAATTATATATGTAATATTTATGAGTTTGTAGTTATGTACTTTACTCATGAGGTTATCTCGATAACGATGGCTAAATGCACCATAAAAAATGACAGGACGAAGATCCCAAGGATGTTGAATGGCAAACAACAAAATCCTCTAACGCAAAAAATATTAATGCCATTTTGATAGTCATTGAGTGAGTACATCTTTGCATTTTATATTTATGTTTGTATGATTCTGACAGCTAAATTTGAGGAGACAGCACAAAAATACATACAAGAATTGTACCTGTTGACCCCAAAAAGTGCTCCAACAGATGTCGGTCCCACCTGCGCTTGCGTGGACGAATGTCCAACACGCTAAGACACGTGGACGGTCTAAAACGAGCGGTTCAAAGGGGTTTGGGAGTAGCCTAACGATGCGGGACGGTGACGTTTGGAATCCGGCGGGTTGTTCGTAATCCGATTGTACAATAATTACCAACCGGTGCTCGTAAATGTATATGTAAAAGTGTATAAACTCGATTTGTGTATTGCAAGTAAATGAGAGAGAGTTGAGTAAATGTAGTCTTTAGCATTGATTCTTGCATTAGCCTTTGACAATACACAATGGAAGTATTTTTAGTGATACATATGAAATGGGAGCCCTTGGATGAAGTGGCACATGGCCTCATCTCTTTAGTTCAAAAGTCTTTTCTTAGGTATGGGGCTTGACTTGCTAGCTTATGGCGCATTTATTGCTTGCGCAGGTCCTCCATACTAATGACAAGATTTGACCTTTATGCTTGTGACAAACGTTCCATTAATCATTTGAATAAGATCTCTGAGCAGGCGATCTCTTGGGAGAAGTGACTGTGGAGGAAGCTCTTTGTGGTTAAGAGGCTCGTGCATCAGTTTCGGGGCTTCGACCATTTGACAAATACTTCCACTTGAGGACCTCAGCTACATTCAACAGGTTCCATGCTTCGGGTTGTGGGCCTCGGTAGTTGGACCTCGGCTTGAAGCACTTCGGATATAACCCACCTTGGCAATATGTGCCACCTCGGCAGGAATGCCACGTGGATCAGGATGAGTGGGCCATTGGACCAGGTGGGTAGGACAGGTGTGACAACACGCAACAATAGTCCCCCAGGTCCAAGTATAATCATTAATGTAATGCGTGGACTTTAATGGAGTAAAAGTTGAAAGAATTTTTGAACCCCAAATAATAGTCCCCCAAGTCCAAGTATAGATATTTATATCATGGTTGGAGTTTGAGAAGTGTTGTTGTGGGTGAGCGATGAAGTAGGCAAGGTGTTTGAACTCTGGCGATGAGCTGAGGTGGTTGAGGAATCGAATCTGCGAGGCTTAATTGCTGAATGGCGAAGAGGAAGCCGAGGTGGTTGAGGAACCGAACCTGAGAGGCTTTGATGCTGAATGGTGAAGAGGAAGCCGAGGTGGCTGAGGAACCGAACCTGCGAGGCTTTATTGCTGAATGGCGAAGAGGAAGCCGAGGTGGCTGAGGAACCGAAGCCGAGGTGGCTGAGGAACCGAACCTGCGAGGCTTGATTGCTGAATGGCGAAGAGGAAGTCGAGGTGGTTGAGGAACCGAACCTGCGAGGCTTTATTGCTGAATGGCGAAGAGGAAGCCGAGGTGGTTGAGGAACCGAACCTGCGAGGCTTTATTGCTGAATGGCGAAGATGAAGCCGAGGTGGTTGAGGAACCGAACCTGCGAGGCTTGATTGCTGAATGGCGAAGAGGAAGCCGAGGTCCAATGGTAATGATTATACCTTGGCTGCTGTGCCAATGATTTGATGTTTTGTGCTTGTTTTCGAGGAAAAGCGGCTGAACCGTTACGACTTCCAAGGCGCTGCTGCCGTCGAATTAAAAATGCAATTATGAGGGCAGCTGACGCTTCTAGAAGCAGACGCGTTGGAGAGGTGCGTGGGAGGCACGCATAAATCTGAAGCGTAGGATTTAAAAACCGTTTGAATTCAACGCCTCGGATTGGATCTGAAATGGAGGGCTCGGATTGACTGAGATTTGATCTGACGGCTGGGGTTCGTCTTGGACCTTTATAAAAGGCAAGAAAATCCCATTTTTCAGGATTTTTGAACACTTTGCACTTTGAAACTCTCTCAAATCTCCAAATTTTCTGGCGTTGAGGTTGACTGTAATATTAAATTCCGGCCAATCTCCGTTGTGTCGAATTCCCTTAGGTATTGTTTGCACAAAAACCCTTCTTACCGTCTTTTTACTGAGAAAATGGAGTCCACTTCGGGTAGGGAGCTTGTTACAGTGGCGTCTTTAGACTATGGGGTCGGTCACGGGGGGATGTCCGAGGTGGATAAGTATGCCATGGCCGAGGAGCCTGTAGATTATACCCAAGAGTGGGGGTTTTTAGGGTGCCTTCGAATATGACGTGGAAGAGGTTGGGGGAACTTAGGGAGAGCTACAGTGTGCCCCACTACATAGAAATGTTAGTCCCCGAGCCGAACGAGCGGGCCTGCTATCCGAGGCCCGGCTGCGTGGCCGTCAGTGAATACCTGTTCAAGGCAGGTATGCGTCTTCCTCTGCACCCCTTCTTTAGGGCAGTGCTTAGGAACTTCATGCTGTCGCCGACCCAGGTTCTGTCGAATGGGTGGAGCCAGCTGGTCGGCTCGTACTTCCTGTGGAAGGAAGTGTCACTTGGGGAGGACGTGCCTCTTCATGTGTTCATGACCCTGTTCCAGCCCCGGGTAATTGGGAAGGAGTCAAGGGGATGGTACTACCTCACGCATTGGGGGGCTCACGCACCCTTTGTGGTGGGACTTCCTTCCTCTATCAAGGGGTGGAAGGAGTCCTGATTCTGGGTGCGAGGTAAATGGCAGGCAGTGGAGGGGGACAAAGCCCTGTCATGCACAGTGCCGACCCAGTATTACGAAGCTCGTGAGTCTCCCGACCTCTGCTTGTCCTTTGAAGTTAGAATATGAATTCGTCTAACTGTTGGGGGTTCTTTTGCAGATAGTAGTACGAGGTTCGAGCTCAGCAGGGAGGAATTCGAGGTGATAGAGGACATTTACAAGAGGCCTCTGAAGCTTCGCCACTTCGATCACCTGATTGATAGGAGCAGATACTTTCTGGACTTCGAACTGATGGCATCCAGAGGTACGAAGCCCCAACACTTAAATTTTCCTATCCATTGTTTTTATACTGATGCTGATCTGACCTATTGTGCAGATAAATTCAAGAAGAGGAAGTACCCAACTCCAAACATGGCCTCTATCTTGAAAGCCACGTCTACTGTGTAGGCGAGGCCCCTGAAGCTTGGGTCCAGCATGGCAAAGGAAGTCCGAGGCAGGGTTGAACGCCTGTCCAAAGACTGTACTCCCAGGGCTTCGGAGGAGGCAACTCCTCAGAGGCCAGAGAAGCCGAAGGAGCCTCGGGGCAAGGAGAAAGTCCCCGAGGAGACTAAAAAGAGGAAGCTGGTACACATCTCCAGTTCAGCTGGAAAGTTTGGGACCTCAGTGTCCCATAGGGCCGAAAAGACTGGCGAGCCAAAGCTTCTTGTTGCAGCCTCCAAAGCCATCAAAATGGAGATGGTTAGAGAGGTAGAGGCTAAAGAGGATAGAGCAGAGGCCGCAAGGCGAGCTGCAGAAGCTGCCGAGGAGGAGGCAGTAAAGGAGAAGCCGGTGCGGGAGAAGGGGAAGTCTCCGAGCTTCCTAGCTGGGAGGGAGGAGGCACTGGCCCCAGCCTTGGTGAAGGCACTCCCTGAAGAAATCAGAAGTGCCACCGAGAGCTTTTACAAGTTCTGGACGGAGAGGTGGCAGCTACATGCCTCCTCTTGCGATGCCACCGACTTGACAAAGGCATTGGTGAGCCAGAGCGTCCGGACCTTTGGCCTCGCGCTCGAATGCAGGGAGGCCTTGAGCGAATTTCAGACAAGGACCCAGGCCTCGGAGGGGAAGACTGCCTCCCTCGCAGAGGAGGTGAAAGCTGCTAAGGCCAAGGCCGAAGAAGCCAAGGCCCAGAGAGTTGAAGAGGCGGCGAAGCTTGAGTCTGCTCTGGCCCAGATTGAGGCCTTAAAGAAGGAAGTGTATGAGTCACAGTGTGAAGTGGCCTCCTTGACAAAGAAGGTGGAGGTCTCCAATGAGCACCAAAAGGTGACTGCTGAGGCCCTTGAGAAGGCGAATCTCTCCTTGGCCGGTGCTCAAGATGCTTATCAGTTTCTCGAAGGCCAGGCGAAGTGGTACATGAACGACGCCTCTGTTGCAAAAGAAGAGGCCCGAACTGCAAGGGAGGAGGCGGTGAAGGAATACATCGCCAATTTCCACACTACAGAGGAGTATAAGAGCTTCAGTTCGTACTGGAGGAACTTCGCCTATGCCGAAGTGTTGGAGCGGGCAGAGGAGCTGTATCCCAATTTGGACCTGGCTCACCTTAGGTCCGAATTTGTGGATGAGGTACCTCAGACCCCAGCTGAGGAGGTCCAGGGTGAGGAAGAAGTTGATGTCGAAGCCCCAAGTGCTGAGGTAGAGGAAGCAACTACTGATGCCCAAGTTGCTGAAGTCCCAAGTGCTGAGGCGCCTCCGTCATCTAGCCAGGCATAGACTAAGTTTTACTTTTCAGTATTTTGGATGTAATGGCCAGAGGCCCGCCTTTGTAATCTTCTTTGAAATATCAATATAATGTCTTTCTTCTTTCATTGTTGTTCTTTGTCCAAGTTTTTATACCTCGTTAAACAAATGAACTGGAACCTGATAGAAGCATGAACTAAATAACTTTAACTTGGTACCTTGGCTCCAATCAATCAACTTTGTGAGCCTCGGACTGAAATAAACGAACATAACTTGAGTGACTAAATTGTGCGAACCTCGGACTTAAGCAAATTAACATGACTTAAGGAGATGAACAGTGTGAACCTCGGACTTAAGCAAATTAACATAACTTAAGGAGATGAACTGTGCGAACCTCGGACTTAAGCAAATTAACATGACTTAAGGAGATGAACAATGTGAACCTCGGACTTAAGCAAATTAACATGACTTAAGGAGATGAACAGTGTGAACCTCGGACTTAAGCACATTAACATGACTTAAGGAGATGAACAGTGTGAGCTTCAGACTGTAGCGGTTGTGGCTTCTCCCCTCGGCGTTCAGCAAGGCCAAAGGGAGGCATGTGCTATCGCCTCGGAGTTCAAGCGAGGTGGCCCAGAGGTGGGTCCCGAGCCTCTCCTCCGAGGTGACGACGCATCCCAGACATGGTGGATGGTACAACCATGTTGAGGTTTCTCCCATTGGCGTTCAGCAAGGCCAAAGGGAGGCATGTGCTAGAACCTCGGAGTTCAAGAAAGGTGGTCCAGAGGTGGGTCCCGAGCCTCTCCTCCGAGGTGACGACGCAGTACGACACGATGATTTAATCAATGCATTTTATTGAGCCATAGAAATATTACAAAGGCTGGGGAAAGTCATGCAGCATTGTACAATTCATTGGTAATAGATTCTGAGGTGTTCAATGTTCCATGGACGGGGTTGCGCCTTACCGTCCATGTCTTAAATCCAGTAGGTTCCAGATCGGATTTCTTCTCTGATTTTGTATGGACCTTCCCAATTCGGGCCTAGGAAATCAGAACCAGGTTCTTTTGAAGATAGGAAGACCCTCCTGAGCACAAGATCGTTGATTCGGAACGACTTCTTCTTGACTTTGGAGTTGAAGTACCTTGTCATCTTTCTTTGATAGGTGCCTAGCTTTAGCTGGGAGTCATCCCTTCTCTCCTCAATGAAATCGAGGTCGAGCCTCCGGAGCTCGTCGTTGGTCACTTCGCTGAAGTGCAGACGTCGTGGAGATGGAAGTCCGACCTCCACGGGGCTCATCGCCTCAGTCCCATATGCCATGAGAAAAGGGGTCTCCCCAGTTGGGGTCCTGGTGGTGGTTCGGATTGCCCAAAGTACTTGGGGCAGCTCATCAACCCAAGCTCCCTTGGATACATCAAGCTTCCTTTTTAGGACGTGCTTGATTGTCTTGTTTACGGCTTCAATTTGGCCATTAGCTTGTGGGTGGTGAGGTGTAGAGAAGTGCTTCTTTATGACGAGCTCTTCATACAGTTCTCTAACCTTCTTGTTATCGAATTGTCTGCCATTGTCTGAGACGATCGAGTAGGGAATTCCGTACCGAAAAATAATATTCTTCCATAGGAACTTGGAGGTGTTTGCTTCTGTGATTTTTGCCAGTGGTTCAGCTTCGACCCACTTTGTGAAGTAATCAATGGCCACTATTGCAAAACTTGCACCTCCTCTACCCTTAGGTAGAGGGCCTATGAGGTCCACACCCCATTTTGAGAAAGGCCAGGGGTTGGAGACTGCAGTCAAATCTTGTGATGGTCGTCTTTATACGGGAGAGAATCGTTGGCATTTATCACATTTTCGCACGAATTCGAGGGCATCCCGTTTCAGGGTAGGCCAGTAGTACCCTTGCTTCAGTATTTTTTGTGCCAGAGATAGGCCTCCAGAGTGGTTGCCGCACACTCCCTCGTGGACTTCTCTTAGTATGTAGGTAGCCTCTTCTCCTTCGACGCATTGTAAGAGTGGAGAGGAGAAGCTTCTCTTGTAGAGAATGTCATCAACGAAGAGGAAGTGGGCTGACCTCCTTCTCAGCTTATAAGCCTCATTCTTGTTGGTGGGCAGCACCTGGTCTTTCAGATATGCTATGATTGGTTGCATCCAGGTGGGAGTTCCACCGACCCACATGACATTAGGGGCCTCGGTAGAAGGCAGGAGGAGGTGCTCGATAGGCACTACAGTGAGTAGCTCTGAGTCTTTGCTACTAGCTAGCTTCGAGAGTGCATCCGCATGAGCATTTTCGATGTGGGGAATATGGGTTAACTCGAACTTTTCAAAGGATGGGATGAGGTTCATCACCATTTTCAGATAGGAGGCCATCGTTTTGTCTTTGGCCGAGAAGTTACCATTGACTTGGCTAACAACCAGCTGGGAGTCACTACTGACGAGTAGCTTCTTTACTTGCATTTCCTTGGCCAGTCTGAGGCCTGCAAGGAGTGCTTCATACTCTGCAACATTATTGGTGGCTTTGAATCCGAACCTCACGGTCGAGGTATGTTTGTGACCCTCGGGGCCGATGAGGACAACCCCGACACCTGAGCCGACCTCCCCAGCTGAGCCATCGACGAAGAGGCTCCACGTGGGGGGTTCGACGGATTCCATGATTTCATCCACCTCGGGTAGGTTGGCGAATTCAGCAACAAAGTCAGCTAAGGCTTGCCCTTTGATGGCTGCCCTAGCTTTGAACATAAGGTCAAATTCACTTAGTTCCATTGCCCATTTCAACAATCTTCCCGAGGCATTGGGCTTTTGGAGTACTTGCCTCAGGGGAAAATTTGTAAGTACATGGATGATATGAACTTGGAAGTAGGGTCTCAATTTCCTAGAGGCCGTGATTAAGGCCAAAGCAAGCTTCTCTATATCGGGGTATCGGGTCTCCGGCGATAGGAGCGCTTTACTTGTATAGTAGACGGGAAGTTGGGTGGACCCTTCTTCTCGAATCAAAACCGAACTGATGGTGTCATTGGAGACGGCAAGATATAGTTGCAAGATGTCACCGAACTTCGGTTAGGAGAGGAGGGGGGCCTGCCCCAAATGCATTTTCAGTCCTTGGAAGGCCTCTTCACATTCCTCAGTCCATTGGAATTTTTTCCCAGCCTTGAGCACTTTGAAAAATGGGAGGCACTTGTCAGTTGCTTTGGAGACGAAGCGACTAAGTGCTGCCACTCGTCCAGTTAAGCTTTGCACCTCTTTTGGCTTTTGAGGGGACCTCATCTGGCACAGAGCCTCAATCTTCTCGGGATTTGCTTCAATTCCTCGCTGGTTGACCATGTACCCCAAGAACTTGCCGGAAGCCACCCCAAAGGCACATTTCAAGGGGTTGAGCCTCATCCTGTACCTTCTCAGGATTTGGAAGGTGTTGTTGAGGTGCGCTATGTGGTTCTCTGCTTCTAAGCTCTTCACTAGCATGTCATCCACGCAGACCTCCATTGTCTTATCAATGAGGTCGGTAAACATTTTGTTCACGAGTCTTTGGTAGGTTGCTCCGGCGTTTTTCAACCCGAAGGGCATCATTCTATAGCAATAGAAGCCTCGGTCCGTGATGAAAGAGGTGTGCTCTTCATCGGCCGGGTGCATGGGGATTTGGTTGTAGCCGAAGTATGCATCCATGAAGCTCAACAACTTGTGCCTAGCCGTGGAGTCCACCAATTGGTCAATCCTTAGAAGCGGAAAGTTGTCTTTCGGGCAAGCTCTATTGAGGTTGGTAAAGTCGATGCATACCCTCCATTTGCCATTGTGTTTCTTAACCAAGACCGGGTTGGAGACCCACCTCGGATAGGTGGCCTCCCTGATGAAGCCATTTTGGATGAGCTTCTGAACCTCTTCCTTTAGGGCCTCATACCTCTCAGGGTTAAGGGCTCTCCTTTTTTGTCTATGCGGGGCAACATTAGGATCAATTTTCAAGTGGTGGCAGCTGATCTTAGGGTCTATGCCCACCATGTCCTCATGCCTCCAAGCAAAGACGTCAAGGTTCTTGCCTAGGAAGTCCTTAATCTTTTCTCTCAAAATGTTGGATAGGCCCCTGCCTACTTTCAACACCTTGGACGGATCTAGGGGGTCGGCTGAGAAGCTCTCAAGTTCCTCTATAGGGGATGCTCGAGGCTCATGTTCCATTATGCGGGGGTCGATCTCATCAACGATCAACACCTCTTGATTAAGCGGTGTGTCAATCATATCAACATCTTCTTGATCAGTGGGAGCGTCACCTGGGACATCCGCCATGACCACATCAGCCATGATTACGTGAACGTCCTGGGGCTCTACCTTCTTAATGGAGCTTAGATAGCACTCTCTCGAGCCTCTCTGGTCGCCTCTCACTGTTGCCACCCCATTTTCTGTTGGGACTTTCATGCATAGGTGGTGGATGGAGGTGACTGCTCCCAATTCCTTTAGGGCCGGTCTGCCCAAGACTCCGTGATAAGCCGACCGGCTATCAACTACGAGGAATTCCATGAAGTTCATCGTAGTTTGAGGAGATTCTCCCATCTCCACTGCTAGTGTTATCTTTTCCCTCAGAGTGATGCTATCTCCGGTAAATCCATACAATGGAGTGGTGGTGGGCATCAACTGATGGTCCAATCTCATCCTGTCAAAGGCGGACCCGAATAGGATGTTGACGGAGCTGCCGTTGTCGACTAGCATTCGTTTGAGCCCATTTTGGGCTATGACAGCCCTCACTACCAGCGCATCGCAGTGGGGTAATGAACTCCTTCGGCGTCTTCCTGGGTGAAGACAATGGGTGGTACTTAGTTTTTTCGAGAGCTACTGTCCACAATATAACTCGTCAGAAGGGGGTGCTTAGCCTCCCTAGCATAATTTCTTTTGGCGTTTCGTATTTCACCGCCAACATAAGGGCCTCCAAATATGGTATCTATCTCGTGGATAGGGGCCTCATCTTGAGCTTGCCTATTTCTTCGGTGTCTACGCCCTTCCCTGGGCCTCTCTGTGTCTTGCTCTCTTCGCCTTGGGGATATATCCCTTTGACGAGGAGC